TTCACATGAAAATTGCTTCTCATACAAAAATTGTTTGCCATACAAATGGTTTGGCGTAGAAAAGTTTTTTTCGACGACAATTTGTGAAACTTCACAAGAAGGTTGTTTCTCATTCGATTGTCTGCCACACAAAGATTTTCTTCCGGATAAACTCCGCCCTTTATCCGTTTTTAATTTCTTGTGTGTAGTGTTGCATAACTTCGGAGGTGGATCTATAAAATATAATAAAAGTTAATAAAGTATAAATAGTTTGTTTCACACTATATTATTGACACAAGATTGAAATAAATAAAAAACTTATATAATTTTTGGATAGACAGCTTGGTTTTTAGTGAAACAAAAATAAAATATAATTCGATAAAATGAAATTACCGTAATCTTCACGCGCACTGTCATTAGAAGTATCATATGTATCGAATTGTTTCTCGTGTATTACTCTTTCTCACGTCCCCTGATTTCCTCACAAGAAGTTACGTAATTAGCATCTTCTGCTTTTTTTCGTGCCTTTTCTAGAGTTTCTATAAATGTGAAACATTATATTAATATTGCATAATTCATATTTAAAATAACTACTTTTACGTATACTTACCATAGTAGCATTCTACTTTGATATCAAAAAATAACTAATCCGCTTCTGGTGGAGTGTTTTTTTTTAAGAAAGAAAGTTGCATTCTTTGTTGTTGGCCAACTACATTGAGTACAATCTTTTGTAAGCCATGATGTCGGAAATTCGGAATACGTTCCTTCTTGCGGAAATTGTACAACAGCATAAGGAAAGTTCATTTTGACACACAGTATACAATATCTTTAACAAAATCATGTATATATAATCAATTACTGTGAATTACGGTGAAGATAATAAAAAAAGGCGCCAAGTACAAGCGCAACACGTATTGTGTTATTTTAAAATATTTCAAATTCAAATTATTTTTTTAAGGTATATATGTGTACATAACATAAGTTTCTACAAGTAAAACTTATATTACGTACATTCGTATCTACATAGATATATACGTATGTACATACGTACATACATACGTACATATTATATACATACATAGGTATATACGTATGTACATACCTACACACGTACATACATACATACATACGTACACACGTACATACATACATACATACGTACACACGTACATACATACATACATACGTACATACAAATGTTCATACATACGTAAATACTTATTCAGATGTACGTAAATACTTACGTATATACGTACAAACATATGTATATATATATACGTACAAACATACATAAACATTTTTTAGGTATTGAAGGTCCGCGTCCACGTCTACATGTACGACAATATTTTCGAATTGCTTAGCTTTTCCCAGCATTTGTGCCTCTTGGTATATATGTTTACATATTCGTAATAACATACATATACACGTATATTATTATTACGAATAAAACTTATAACTATAATAAAACTCTGTAACACTTTTTTACTGTACAAAAGAAGTGATATATTAGAACAGTAGCGCCAACTGAGAAATCTAACATATACAGGGTGTTATAAAAGTCCGGGAAGAGCAGAATAACTCGAAAAATATGAGTCCTAGAAAAAATGCGAAGTACTAGGTTTTTATGATCTTTTCCTGGCTATCTGACGATGACCTTGGATTTGCCCTTGACAATGACCTTGAAGGTCATTTCAAGGTCAGGTCAATTTTTTTAAATAGAACCCCATACTTTTGACCCCAGAAATTAAAAGAGCGGAAAATTTTACGTTCGAACATGACCTTGAACATTGCCAAATTTGACCTCTGAAGGTCACATAAAGGTCTAAGCTTGTTTTAGGCTGAAAACGCGAATGTCTTCGAAAATGGACCTGCTAGAGAGCAATGTTACGCATAAGAATAAGAATGTAGAAGTCAACGAAGAACATTCAGCCGTGACCTTGTCCTTATTCTCAAAGTCATGAGTTAAGATTATTATTAAGGTCAAACCGGATTTTTTATAACTGAAAATCCATACTTTTGACCTAAAAGTGTCAAGATTGAAAAATTTTACGTTCGGATATGACGTTTTCAACCTTGACCTTGTTCTTAAGGTTATGTGTCAGTCATATCAAAGTCAATTAATTTTTGTAGGCTGGAAACACATACTTTTACCTCCCCCCCATAATGTGAAGAGTGAGATTTTACGTTACGTACGAGGTCACACTCCGATTATTGGTAATTCCTCAATATCGGGCGCCATTCTGGATCGGTCATCTTGAATTTGTAAAATCCATCGTCGGATTCGATTTCAGAAACGACTTCGAAAACTCCTTAAACGAGATCCAATTTTTGTTATTCTTAAATATCGGTCGCTATCTTGAATCGGCCATCTTGAATTTGCAAAATCCGACGTCGGATTCGGTTCCCTCGTTGACCTCTACATTCTTATTCTTATGCGTAACATTGCTCTCTAGCAGGTGCATTTTCGAAGATATTCGCGTTTTCAGTCTAAAACAAGCTTAGACCTTCATGTGACCTTCAGAGGTCAAATTTGGCAGTGTTTAAGGTCATATCCGAGCGTAAAATTCTCCGCTCTTTTCATTTATGAGGTCAAAAGTATGGAGTCCCATTTAAAAAAATTGACCTGACCTTGAAATGACCTTCAAGGTCATCGTCAAGGTCAAATCCAATGTCACCGTCAGATAGCCAGGAAAAAATCATAAAAACCCAGTACTTCGCATTTTTTCTAGAATTCATATTTTTCGAGTTATTCTGCTCTCCCGAGACTTTTATAACACCCTGTATATATATATATATATATATATATATATATGATTATTGTATACTTAATATTTCTAGAAATCTGAAATTCAAATTATTTTCTTTTTTAAGATATACAGGGTGCACGATTTATCTGAAGACATTGAAATATCTCGAGAACTATGCATTGGATAAAAAAGAGTGGTTAATGAAAGTTGTTAGTCTCGAAGGGAGCCATCTAATGATACCAAACTCGACCTCCCACCCCACCCCTTGGGGCTGGGGGTTGGGGGCAACTTTGAAATCTTAAATGGAAACCCCCATTTTTATTGCAGATACGGGTTCTACGCCACAAAATACGTAAATTTTGCCCGAAACATTTTTTCCGATTCGTGATAGATGGCGCTGTAATCGCAAAAAATTATATTTTCCGCAATTCTCCAGAAATGATCTTTGGATTGAGAAATAAAAAATACCTGTTCAATATTTTGAAAGAACATAGAGTTGTTCAATATTTTTAAAGAACATACATAAAGAACATTTTTAAAGAACATTTTAAAGAACGCCGGATTTCTTTCTGTGGAGTTACCTAAAAGATAAGGTTTATCAACAAGTGCCAACAACTCGTGAAAACATGGTAGAACGCATAAGAAACGCTTGCGCTGAAACTCCCGCATATATGCTTCTATCCTGTGTACAGTCATTTGAAAAAAGGATCAATAAGTGTATTGAAGTTGAAGGTAAAAATTTCGAACACTTACTCTAATTAATTGAACAATGAGAGGCAAGGGGACTCACATTAAAAAAACACCCCGATCTGTGAGAGGCAAGGGGACTCACATTAAAAAAGCACCCGAAAGGAACATAAAACTACTACGTCCTCGCCGTTGTTCTTGTGTAACGCTAAAAGTAGTTTCTCGGAAAAATTCCACGCTATCTATCACGAATGAAAAAAATTGTTTCAATAAAAATTTCACGTACAATCTAATTCTGCAATGAAAAATGTGAATCCCCATTTGAGATTTGAACGTTATCACCCACCCTACCCCGAGAGGATGGGGGGGAATAACTTTTATTATGTTCTTTAAAAATATTGAACAGGTATTTTTTATTTCTCAATCCAATGATCATTTCTGGAGAATTGCGGAAAATATAATTTTTTGCGATTACAGCGCCATCTATCACGAATAAAAAAAAAAGTTTCGGACAAAATTTACGTATTTTGTGGCGTAGAATCCGTATCTGCAATAAAAAATGGGGATTTCTATTTAAGATTTCAAAGTTGCCCCCAACCCCCACCCCCAGGGGGTGGGGTGGGTGGTCGAGTTTGGTATCATTGGATGTCCCCCTTCGAGACTAACAACTTTCATTAACCACTTTTTTTTATCCAATGCATAGTTCTCGAGATATTTCAATGTTTTCAGATAAATCGTGCACCCTGTATATTATGTACATAACATAAGTTTTTATAATATATGTACATAAACTGTTAAAAGTAAAAATTATATCGTTATAAAAATTATAACGCAACCCAAATAGCCAAAAAGATGTCTTTTAGATTTCTAAAAGATATCTCGCCATGTCTTGAGATATCTTACTTTTTTCCCCAAAAGATTTCTTTTAGGGATCTAAAAGATGTCTTACGCAACATTTTGAGATATCTTTTAGATATCTAAAGATGTCTTGAAGATATCCTTAAGTAATCCTGAAGAAGTCTTCTTCAAAGACATCTTGCAGAAATGTAAAAAGACATCTTATAGAGTATTAAAAGATCTCTAATAAGATTTCTTTTATATATCTTCTAAATATCTAAAAGATGTCTTAAAAAACATCTTGCAGAAATGTAAAAGACATCTAAAAGATTTCTTTTACACATATCTCAAAGATGTCTAACAAATATCTTTTAGAAGTCTTCAATATATTTTAAAAAACATAAATATTGAGAAATGAATAACAAATAATAGTATTGCGTTAATATTATATTTATTGACGATTATATTAACATTACAACACACACACACATACATATATATATTGTGTATATATTTTTTTATTTATAAATATATATAATTATTATATTTATAATTATTATATAAAAATTATATTAAATTATATATTAATTATTAATATATAATTATTAATTATATATTAAATATTATAATTATTACACTTTATATTTGACTGTTTTATAATAAAATATGTTTTCATATAAATTATATAACGTAACAACATTGTTTGCGTTAAAACGTTACTTGCTTGTTAAGATATGGGCGTAGCCAGAATTTTTTTTTCAGGCAGACCATACACAAGCCACCTCTTTCAATTTAAGCATTCAATGCAAAAAAATTATATAAATTTTATCACTTTATTGCCGGTAAAAAATAAAAAAAAACTGCAGCGCCTTCGTATAAAAAAATAAATTTTTTTCTACGTTTAGGGGACCGTGGTCTTCCTCTGCCTCCTCCTGGCAACGCCTATGCAAGATATAATTAATTAATTTCTTATTATTAAGTATACAGGCTGTGCGGTAACTCGCTTTAGAAACACGATGTACAGGTAGATTAGGTGAAACTGAAGAAAAAATTCCTATATCATTTTGCGAAGAACCACATAAAATATAGAATTATTAATTAATTGATCATTAGCTAATTTCTTTAATTAATAACACAATTTTACGTGGTTCTTCGCAAAATCATAGAGGAATTGTTTTTTCAGTTTCACTTAATCTATTTTTATATCGCGGTTTTTAGCGGAATTATCGGACACTCTGTATACTAATTACAGAGTAATTTATTGTTGCACTTTTTTGTTTCGATATCTCATTTTATCACCTGCATGTTGCAGCCAGTTTTTTACATGCTTGACAATCAATGCAATGGTACAGTCAGGTCCATTTCCTTTTGTACGATTGACAGTACCTGTGGATAGTATTTATATTTTTTAGTACTAGTAGATATATCTGGTTGGAAAAATTCATATCTATTTATATAAACAAAAATAATAGTACTCTAAACATTATGACAAGTTATAGTCCTTACATATCACTAATGTTTAAAAGTATTTTTTGTATCTATATTTGAAAATGATATAAAAGAGAATTTAACATTTGGAAAAATTAAGAGACATATATATATATAGTTTATTTGTAATTGTTAAAATATACGTACTAACTATAATGTTTGCAAAAGTTGTATTTTCGATTGCGATAGTATTTTTTGCACCAGTCCAAGTCAACTTGTGTGTGTCAAATGTTATGCAATATGTGAGTATATTGGAGATCATTTTTTGTGTAGAGTCACCACCAATACACTTTATTTTCTTTTCCTGCAAAGAATAATGTTAATATAGACGTTAATGTTCGTATACGTGACTTTTTTTCTTTTATTATTTATTATTATTCGTATTTCGATATTACTATATACATATGGCCAAATCTATGTGAGCAGATTTCGAGTGCAATCTAATATCATCAACAGTAGATCGCAAGTAAACAATAAATTTGATGCAAGATATATGAAATCCTGCTACCAAACTACTTTCACATATGCGACAATGTTTTCGATTGGGCATAAAATTATATATTGATGGATACGAAGAAAGTATTTGTACACATACACATATGTATGAATATATAGAGTGTTTGTTTAGGGATCATATTCAATGGAGGCATAGAACTGATTAAGATAAACAAGAAAGTCAAATATCATGTAGTAAAAATGATAAAAATAGCCGATTTATGCATGAACAAAAATTGGTTGTAGAACTCAGGTTCGGTCTCTGCAGCTCGCAGATCGAGTTAAATCATCTAACGATACTTACCGGCATGTGACAAGCAGAAGGGAAAATGTGCAGAAATAATCCTTTCTTCTTCTTGCCGCGCGCCGATAACTATTGCTAGACGACTTGATTCGATATGCGAGCTTCAGCGACCAAACGCACCTCTTACTACCGCTGCGATGCACGATTTTTATTCATGCATTACTCAGTAATTTTTATGATTTTTGCAAAAAGATATTTGACTTTTGTTTATCTTAATCAGCTCTATGCCTCCATTGAATATGATCCTTTAGTTAACAAATACTCTGTATACACACACACACACACACATACACACACAGACACACACACACACACATATATATATATATATATATAATGTGCAATTCAATCAGTGATTCATTGACTGATATGAAGAAAGTATTTATATTCATATGTGTGTGTGATATATATATATATATATATATATGATATATATATATATATATATCACACACACATATGAATATAAATACTTTCTTCATATCAGTCAATGAATCACTGATTGAATTGCACATTATTCAAAATATACTTACAAAACATTTACGAATTGCTTCATCATTTTTCAATGTTTCATTAAATTGTACGTATTCCTCGACGGATGTCATTGGAAATTCAGGCATTAAATCCATAGTTATTGCTTCATTTTCTTCATTTCTTTGGAAATTTCTCTTAAAATAGCAACTATTTCTTTCAATTTTGTGTTATTTTTAGCTGCTTCGTGTTTTATCTCTGTTTTGAATTGTTGAAAGTCTTGATGTAAAGTATCTACTTTTTCATATAAAGAACCTGCAAGAAGAACTATTTATATTTCATCATTCATATTTTACTGTAAGCATCTTCAGAGACTAATTTTTTAATGTTATTAATAACTTTGTACACTACAATATACGATAAAAGTATTTTGGAAATATAATAATAACTATATTATATATGATGACAATACTAAAACAATACATTACTAAAATTTACAAATTTTTAGAAATGATTTACTATTTTCACTGTTTAGTATTCATTAGTATGATCAATCAATTAGTATTCATCTATATGAAAGAAAGTATTCATCTATATGAAAGAAAAATGTATCTTACTTATAATTACATGTATATCCTCGTCTACATTCATTTCTGTAATTGGGAGAGCCTTCATCGCTAAATAAAATAATAGAAATAGGTTCACAGATTATTGAATTTACTTATTCAACTAACTTTATATAATATATGCCATGACAAAAAGTATACCGCTATATAATTTGTCATTACCAATTATCTCATTTTCCTTATTATCGATGTTCCGATCATAATCACGAGAATTAGTATCATCCGTCATCTCTTCATCATCTTGCTCATCCTCATGAAAAACTTGAATTGAAAATTGGTGTTCATTTAAAGGTGAAGGGACATTGCAATTAGATGGATTATTTTTGACGGATAAAATTTTATCTTCCTCCTGGAATTCAAAATATATTAATATACAAATTGTATGTGTGTGTAAATCTAACATATACGTGTGTGTGTACAAATATATATTTATGTATATATTTATAAATTAAATAACGATTTTTGTCCGAATTTATTCAACTCTCATCTATATTTACATATAAATAAATAAAAATATAAAATACTATTAATTAAGTAATAATTATTCACGTATTGTAATAAATATATAAATGGTTTTATCAAATACTACTATTTTGTTTCACTGAACAACATAGAAATGCGTGTGAAATGTCTATTTTGCAGCTATGTATTGATAGTTACGATTATTCCAATTATAAATTATTAAAAATTAATCGATGTCTGAATAAAAGCACGTCCTAATTAGCGCTATTTTTCTCTATATATTAATCATTAATATTTATAGTACTCACCCGCTTCTGCACGTTATATTCCGAACTCACTGATCTAAAATGTAATGAATTTTTCTCAAGTTCAACATTTGTAGATGTAGCTCCAATCCCTTCGTGTATTTTATAATTTGATGGGGGATGTTGATTTGATTTATATTTCTTGGAAATATTACCTATATTTTATAGAAAATTAGTTTTTTCAACGATTTACGACTTATCTTTATAATTATATACTTATCTTTATAATTATATACTTATATATAGTATATAATTATATTAGTAAATTAGTTTTGTTACTCATTTTCAATTTGCTACTTTACGTTTTATCATATTATATTTTGTAATTTGCTGTAATAGAATTTGAAACTTACAATCATTCACGTAATTATTCGATTCATCGTCATAAAATTTTTTTTTCGTTATCAAACGTTTCAGAGGCAATGTTTGGATTGGTTCATTTAAAGAAGCAAATTGAATATCATCCGAAGTGGATATATCAATACAAGATTTTTCTGCTTCCCGAGCCTTATCAAATGTATTGTAAGGTCCTAAAATTTTATGAAAATGACTAATGTTCCAATCATTTCCAGGACTTATCTTCTTCTTTATTGTATTGGTAATATTTTTTTTAGACAATGGAAACGTAAATGTTTTTGCATTAAAGTTTACCCAAGAATCGGGAACGACTTGGCAGTATTCGTCCCAAAATACGACGTAATACATCTGTAACAATAAATACTGATTAAGTAATGATGAAGTATTTAAGAGAATAAATGAAAATAATTTCACTCATAATTATTATGATTTTCTATCCTAAAGCATCCAAATTATGGTTCAAACTTGTCATAATTTATTGTTAAAAAATATTTATATATATAAAACTTATTATTTATATAAATATCTGTCATAATTACAAATTGGATTAAACAATATTATTTGTATAATATAATATATTTATGTATGATATAATACAATTTATAAATTACTAGTTTTATTTATAAATTATTACAGTTGTTTTTATAAAAAATAACAACTCACTTCAATCATTAGTATGTAGAATAGGAATTATACAAAATGTATCTTTGTAAGGAAGTCGCATTGCTTTTGCGCTTATTTGACTTATTGGATACATTCCAATTTCAGACCATTCATTTCCGACATAGATTTTCAAATTTCGCGAATCACATGGATATGAAGATATATTATCGAAATTTTTTAACTTTTTTCCAAATATTACTGTTTCTCCATTCTTTTTTCCAATATATTCAATCATGAGAACATTTCTGTTATTCATATAACAATAAGAATCGGCTTCTTTGATGCAGGATAGTGTAAATTTTTCAAATATTATTTCTTTATGAGATTGTGTACATCCAAACAATAATTCTTCGTTCTTGGCATTTTGAAGAATGGGATATTCTTCAGGTTTATACCCAATATTTCTTACAGTTTGACATTTTTCCATTAATCATCTGTGCAATTGTTGTAACGGTTGTGCATTTTTTCGTAGCATTCGTTTCATTTCTTGAAAATAATTTTCGAATGGAAAAGCACTGAACATGTCCAGACACCCATGATTCTTAACATCAATATGTAAGTGAACCAAGTTATGTACATTGTATGTAACGTAGTTCTCAGAATATAACATTTTAAATGTTTGTACAAAATGTACTAATAATTCATGTGCATATTCGTTATTGTATTCGCAATCGGCAGGATTACAAAGAATATAAATTGCACAATGTAGAACATAAAAATGTCTCAAATAATCATTTGGCAAATATGACCATAAAATTGATAGACTAGTATATAAGAGAAACAGTCTAAATTCTGTCGCTTTCCAGCGATCTAATTCATCTAAACCTCTTGGTTTCCTAGAAAATTCTCTAGGTATGTATGTTATTAACTGCTTTAAATCTATAGATAATTGATCAATTTGAGAAGCACGCAGTTTAATGCCCTTTATTCCTCGGATCCACATATTTATAAGTCTTTTCATGACACCGAGACAAACAAGATGCATATAATCTAATGGGAACTGTGTTACCATTTTCAATCCAATGTTTTCAAAAGGTGAATTATCCACATGATGATCTTCATTATGTCGTAATAAAAATTTTGCATCTGTGCGTAAAGGAGCATTTTATTAAGGAATAACATTCGATTGTTCCCCATTCACCTTCCTCTTCACATTTATCGCATCCATAATATCCTGTATGACTTTTAATACATTTCATGAATGCTTTTGCCGGGGCGTCGCATATTATAGCATTTATTAAAACTTTGTATTTTTTTCCTCGATATTGGAATCCTTTATTTTGAATTTCACTATATTCTTCAATAAATTGATGAATAATCTCATTCGGTTTCTTCGGTTACAATATCCGTGGAATACTCCAATGACAAAAGGTTTTTCTCTATAATGAACGTGGACAATTTGCCCTAAAAGTGGCCAAAATTGCGATTTAGAACTCTTTGCCAATGGTAGTCCGTCAATGCTTAAGTTGATTTTAATTTCATTTTCACAACGTTCATGGAGAGGTTTATTATATCGTAAATGATTCTTCAATGCTGTCTGCAATCCATGATAATAAAAAGTACCAGAATGATTCTTAATTATTGATGTTGTTCTCGGAGTTCCCAATAAAGTTCTCGCATTATAAGGAAGCTTTTTATATCCATTGATTTTGAGACCTTGAAGCAATTTTGTTAGAGCCACATGAGTAATATTATACTCAAGACTCCATGTCCGAAGAAATTTGTATAATGCAAGTTCTTTCTGTACATTAAAACTCAAATCTTTATAACATTGATTATTGCATTCGGCAATCAATTCCATATCAGATTCTGAATAACTACAATTTGAATAAGAATCAATTCTTTGATTGCATTCTTCGACATCTCCATACATATATATATTATTATTATTCAAATAATTGTTACTATTCTCTTCAATAAGAATATTGTCATTAGACATTTCATGAGGAATCTCAATGTCTAATATTATATGTATCGCCTGTATCAATAGTATGTACTGCACAATCAATATTTTGTCGCCGACGCCATTGTTGAGACCGACTCAAATCGTTATATCTTTTTCTTTCGGCATTATTAATTTTTTTATTATATGTCGTTTGAAACCTACATACAAATGATGAAAATTTCATGATATAAAGGCAAAATATTTATAATAATAATATGTAGTTCTTCCACATATAAAAATACGAAAATCGAATATCGAATATATGAAAAGTGAAATTATTCCAGATATTTAATATTTAATATTATTATATTAATTATGCCAGAGTATGAAATATCTTTTAAACTATTATATTTTTTAATTTATCTTTGAATGAATATCAATGATTTATTACAAAGATATTTCGTGTAGATTAAAAAAGAAACATCATGTCCTATTTCTTCTTGTAGTAGCGTCCAGATGAGTACTGCGTCCTGGAACAGCTTTATGTCGACGTTTCAGAAACGTTGCAGTTTGCATCTTAAGAGCTGAGAGCTTTGATATTAATTATTCTCTCCTCTTCTTTCTTCAACACAAGGAAAGGGATACCTAAGCACACTCACGAAAGAGGAAAATTCAATATCAGGATCTCAGCCTTGAAGATGCAAACTGCAATGTTAGCGAAACGTCGACATAAAACTGTTTCAGACGCGGTACTCAAACCGGAAACTATTACAATGAAGAAATTCACCGACCATGAACCCTCAAATCTGAAACATCAGTGCACATACTGACGTCAGATTGGCGACAGATCCACAGACATCTAGTCCACAATCTGCTGTTAGACTGCCGGCAGAGTATGCTAACACAATCTATGACAGCTCTGACAGCAGCTTGATGGCAGAATGCAAATCTTGCTAACGTCTATTAGCAGGCTCTGCACGCAATATACCACGAATCTGCCATAAAAACCTAATTAATACATACTGTGTGCAATCTATTGCCTTTGTGTTACAAATGCTGCTAAGAGATTGCTCGCACAGGTTTGGTTATTTGCTTATTATATTATTTCTA